ACAAATAGAACTCATTGTTGATCATCTGTCCGTCCGGAACGTATTCATGAAGCACCAAACCTTGAACATCAACATTTTCTTTTGTTTCCGGCTCATTCCTTCCTCCATTGTGCTGTTTGTTGACTGTTTTACATATCAGTTATAATGCTCTCTATGAATATGAGAACGGAAATCTCACGTTCAGGCATGTTCAAAGAGGCCTGTTTATAATACTATTTTTGAAAGAAATTCAGCTTTATCGGGACGAATTGAGCAAGAACACATTTCATACCCCAAATGTACACCAAAGTCAATCGACGGACGCGCGAGAGTTGTCGAGTCACTTTCTTAACACTTTTCAAGCACCATTTCCTTCACTTTTATAATACAGCGTCCAATTTCCACTTCGTTGACATTTTTGCACACTTTTATGATGGTTCGAGTGATCACACGCACACACAACTCTACAAGAAGCACAGACCCATACTTATGAAAATGCATGCAGTGTGTATGTGTGTGTACAGGCCATAACCATTCATGGATGTTTTATAATAAAAGTTGTAACTACATTCTTACATAGCCATCGATACCCTCGTTAGTGCTTTCTCTCGCTACTAGTTTGTTGGTGCCGAATAGTTGAGTGGGCAGTAAAATTTTCAGTTTCCATTTTTAGAAGATACCAGATAGATAACTTTTTTATATCGTTCATATTTTTATAAACATAAACAGGTAGAGCTATATTAATGTGGAGCTTATCTTAAATTTGTTTAATTGGATAACCAAAATTTTTGAAGTATACTTATCTATGTACTCTAAAGACAATAAATCTTCCGCAGACCTTTTCTCTCGAAAACTCGCAACGTCGACTCATCATTTGTTGTCATCGCCCCAGCCTCTACACTATATAGCAGTACGGGAATTATGAGTGACTTATAGAGTTTGGTTTTTGTTTGTCGAGAGAGGACTTTGCTTCTCAATTGCCTACTCAGTTCGAGCATTTGGTGGCAAGATATATCCTGCGTTGTATTTCGAAGCTTACATTGTTGGTAGTGTTGATATTGGTTCCAAGATATACGAAACTATCTACGACTTCGAAGCTGCGACTGTCAAGAGTGACGTGCCGTCGCTCACTACCAGACCGATTTATGGCAGTTCTTTGTCCAACCGGGAGACAGCAGAACTAACGGCGTGTTTGTTAAGGGCAATGTTAACGTAGTGCATGCTTTCATAGAAGATTGTACCTTCTCGATTCAGTTCTGAAGCTCGAAATATTTTCTCAACGAAAAGATTGAAGAAAGCGCACGATACGGCGTCGCCTTAATTAAAACCCTATTTGGTATGGAACGGTTCGGAAAGGTCTATACAAATCCTGACGGAGCTTTTGATGTGGCTCAAAGGCAGTTTACTCAGCCGTATTAGTTTTGCGGGGCTACCAAATTCAGATATCGCGGCATAAAGGCAGCTTCTTTTCGTGGTGTAAAAAACAGCTTTTAAATCGACGAAGAAGTGGTGTGTGTTGATCTTCTTTTCACAGGCCTTTCCCAATATTTAGAGCACAGTGAAAATCTGGTGGAAAGCAGATTTTCCAGTTTTAAAGCCGCACTCATTAGGTGCCATCAGTTTGTTGATCATCGGGCTTAAATATTTTGCTGGATAAGTGTTCCTTCCATAATTTTAGTATGATTCGAGCATGATTCACTAGATCACCTCTGAAAGTTCTACAAGAGTATGCTCAGGTAGCTCTCATTGGTGCGCTCTAAGCGCCCTTCGGAGGCATCTCTGGTCACATAGTCCTTCTCTGTCGTTATTCACCGGAGTGAACGATACTACTCGATGATGGAGTATCTCTCCCACCACTAATCCCACACCGAATTTGTCTTCCAGTGGCCATACTGCTGTAAATGCCACAAGGACCTATTCATTTATGTCCTTAGAAACCTCTACTTTAACGAGGGCAGCAACCAGTGCGGCACCTTCCCAATTAAGGGACTGGACATTCTAGGTAAATCAACATAAACCTTTATACTCATTGCATTTGGCATGGTCTTCATCAAAAAAGGGGACCCTTATCTTAGGCTATTGTTTCGTTTTCATTTTTCGAATGATTTTGGTAGATATTTTGGGTATGAAACGCATTCTTACTCAACTCATGCCGATAAAGTTGAATGTTTTTTAAAAAGTGTACGATTGTGATATAATTGAAAGCCGATAAATAAATATTATGAATAATTAAATATTTTGCATTTTATTTAAATTTTTGTTTGCACAATTATGTATACTAAGGGAGCAGAAATTGCATTAACACTCATGTTTCCTATATAGTATATTCTTTGAGTTGCTCCATCCTCTGCATTTTCGAGTTTCCTCTGTTACCATTTACTCTTGGTTTTCGTACTTCTCTACTTTAGTATTAAACACTCTTCACAAAAATGCCATCAATAAATAATTTATATTTACACTTCTGCAACTTATTGCAACTTGAAGTTTTGAAAGTTTTACAATTTAAAAGCTAGTCAAGGTTGCGTATCTAGTGGACAGTCATAATAGGCGAGTCCACTTGAATGTGCACATACATACACATCGTACACATGCGCAAATGCTTTGCACTAACCAATGAAARAATTCTCAATGGTCGCTGTGCTCTTCGACTGACATTTGTCAAAAGTTTACTCTTTCTTGTTGCAACCCACTCCACCGGCTGATGACTTTTCCACTTAAAGCCTGCACCAACAATGCGTTTTGTCTACAACAATTTGCCCAGTGTACTTACAAACCCACAAACCAATATCGCATTCGCATACTAAGGTATGTTGTGACATGCCAAGCTATCCCGTATGCGGTTGCGGTTTGAATGGCCAACTTGTAGCTTTTAAGGCATTCTTGTATGCTTTATGTATCATATGTATGAATATACTATACATATATGGTATATGCTTTACATACCCATATACTTATACTCCCACGGACGTACAATGTAGCAGCATAATGAAAAGCTCACGGAAATAGTAGTCCAGCTACTACCAGCAGACCGTACTCTACATACATATATACTATATACCTATATTCAATATTTTCAAAG